CGGCGAAACAACTGGCCGCTGTGATACAATTGTACAATAATAATAATAATAATAATAATAGACAAAATAATAGACAAAATATAATGAACATCTGGCTGACTGTATGATGATGATGATGATGATGATGATGATGATGATGATAATGATGATGAAAAAGAACTGGAAAAAACCATGAAATATTGCGACCCGACCATCGAAACTATGCGATTATGGATGAAACATGTAACAGTGATACCCATTGTCATCGGGGCACTTGGTCCAAGAATTTTACAAAACACATCAAGAAATTGCAGTTTCCTGCAATAACACTAGCGGAACTGCAAAAAAACCTGCGCTCTGGCATAAACCCCCATCAACCATTAGTGCCAGTCAATGATATTTGTGACAACATTTTTAAATGTTCAGTTGATTTCAGTTTCATGTTTGGTGAATAAACGATACTACTACTACTACTACTACTACTACTACTACTACTACTACTACTACTACTACTACTACTACTACTACTACTACTACTACTACTCCCACAAACAACATGAACGATAATATTAATAATAATAAGCCCTTCTCCTTTTTCTTGCTCACTACCCGATGTGGGGATCTTCTTTGTCTTTACAACCTGCAGAATCCCGGGGCCTGCTTTCTTTGCAGTTTTTCAAGCCATCGCCCACTGAGTGCAGCTAATCCCGTTCGACTTTCTCCGTCCCGGGGGGCCGTCCTGGAGGGGAGACGGCAGAAAGAGGAGGAAGAGGAGGAGGAGGAGGAAAACGGGGACTGGGGGAGGGAAAGGGCGTAACCAGGAAGCGCCGTGGAAGCGCCTTGCCCTGGAAGAGCATCGGCTTTCGCTTCTCCGCCGACCATGGCTGCTACCAACCGGGGCATGGAGTTAGGTAAGCCGGGCCGCAGCGTGCAAGCTGAGGGCGCATCTGGACAAAGGGCGGTGGACGGAACAAGGCGGGCTGGGCTGGGGGTGGGGAAGGAAGGGGGCGCTTTGAACTTGGAGGTTTCCCCAGGCTCCAGATGTGCCAGAGAGGTTTTTCTCCCTTCTGCTGGTGGAGCGCGATGCCGTGTTGGGGAGATGAACCCAGGCCTCTCTGAAAACGTCTGAAATGCACGATCTTAATTTAATTCCTCTTAATCATCAGGTGGCAATGCATTCCTTCTATGGGGCCCAGATGTTTAGCCCAAATCAGGGTTACTATTCCCAGGAGCGATGAAAACCTACCAGTTAAGTTCTTGGGGCAAATAAGGGAGCAGTTCCTTTATGTCTATTGGAGATGGTCAGTTATCCAAGGCCCAAAGATCCTTTTCCAAAAGGCCACTGGACTATTTTTTCTTGTTTTTCTTCTTTTCTTTGAAGACGTTTCACTTCCCCTCCAAGAAGCTTCTTTGGTTCTGAAAAAGTGAAGCTTCTTGGATTCGCCTGGAGAGATTCTCAGCCATCCAGGTCATGGCTGTCCCAAAGCTGCTTTTTCAGGAAGCCACTGGATTTTCTTGTTTTTTCTTTTTTCTTTTGAAGACGTTTCGCTTCTCATCCAAGAAGCTTCTTCAGCTCTGACAGGATAGTGGGGAAGCTGAAGAAAGCTCCTTCTTGGATGAGAAGCCAAACGTCTTCAAAAGAAAAAGCAAGAAAGTCCAGGGGCCTCCTGAAAAAGCACCTTGGGGACAATCATGGCCTGGATGACGGACGAATCAAAGAAGCTTCTGCACTTTTTCAGAAACAAAGAAGCTTCTTGGAGAAGAAGCGAAACGTTTTCAAAGAAAAGAGAAACCCACAAAAATATCCAGTGGCCTTTTGGAAAAGCACCTTTGGGACGAGAACAGTTCCTTAAGTTGCACATACAGTGCACAATAGTTGCTTTTCTCCTTGCCCCGTTGGTAGTTTTTCTGGTTAGTGTCAATAGAAAGAAATATGGCAGTGCCCTCCCACCTGGACTGAGTTTAAAGGACACACTGAGTGGTAGGAAACTGAAGGTACAGAGTTCATCTTCTACAACAAGAAACAACAAGCGTGTAAGAGCCAGAATAAATGCTTACTCATTTACTTGATTTATAGTGGGGTGTTTTTCCCCCCCCCAAATGTGGCAACTTTAAGATATACGGACTTTAATTCCCAGAATTCCCCAGCTAGTTAGCTAGCTAGCTAGCTGGGGAATGTCTGGCTGGGGAATTCTGGGAGTTGAAATCCACATATTTTACAGTTGCCAAGTTTAAGGAAAACACTGATTTATAAGGATTAAGTGATCCGAGGGAGCTTACAGGAGTGCTCAAAAGTGCAGGGGAAGATAAAAACTGAAATTCAAACCCTTCAGTGGATTCACCATTCATCCTGGGTCAATCATCTACTGCATGTTTGTAAGGCCTCAAGGATGCCCATGGTAATTAATGGTATTGATATATTTAGAGACCCCCGTCCCCAAACCTGAGGTAATTCTGGGTGGTTTATACTTTAAAAGAAAGGACACAACATCAAAAAACCTTGTTTTATGGATAGCAGAAGAAAAAATCCAGACAGCTCAGAAACCTATGGGGATTCACAACCACTGAATAGCAAATTTTCAGAGACATTGAGATCACTGGAGTGACTGCAGTCTAATGCAGCGAAAGGGTGCTAAATCATACTTGACAAATCTCATATCGGCTGATAGGAGCGGTATTACAAAAGAGGGTTGGAGCATTGTGGAAAAGGAAACATAATCCCAGCTATTAGCAAAACATTGGCAAACAAGATAATTCAAAGGATCTAGGCCTGCAGAGGAAAAATCATTGTTTCCTTTGTTGTGGTTTTGGTTTTCCAAGATGCAGCTAGTCCTCAGTGTAAGACCGGTTTTTAAGAAACGATTTGAGGTTACAATAGACCAGGGGTCAGCAATCTTAAACACTCAAAAGAGCCATTTGGACCTGTTTCCCACAGAAAAGAAAACACCGGGAGCCACAAAACCCTTCCCATGCCTGACTATTTCCTGAGCGGCCACAAAACTAGCATATGTAGTTGAATTAAACGTTCTGTTTTCTTCTGAAACTTTTCTTTTCTTGGATTTATCCATGGTTGGCCTTCCAGGGTCAAAGAGCTCAATAAATCACGTTCTGGCGGGTGTCGCACATTGGCAGTTGTGACGCATATTTTGAATGACAGGGAGCCAGTCGCAGCAGAGGGATGAAAGAGCCACATGCGGCTCCGGAGCCGCAGTTTGCTCACCCCTGCAATAGACAATCCCCTCTCCAGCATTGATGACTTGGTTCTGAAGTTCATCCATGATCACGTGACCTCATGTTGGGCACTTGGCAACTAGGCCTCATTTATGCCTGTCTCTAGCAACCTGCAGTCACGTGACCCTGTTTGCCCAAAACACATTTCCTTCCAATTTTTGCTAAAAGCAGCCCATAATGAACAATGGGTTTCACGTTATAATTAACAGACTCCATGATGGTCGTAAACTTAGCACTACCTGTAGAGGAATTTATCATCTGTTGGTATTTCTTACTTCATAATTTGGGGAGATGTTTCTTGGGAACATTTCTGGTGAAATGCTGTTTTAAACTGCCGAAGAAAATAAATCGCTTCTTAGGGTTTGGATTTGATCTCCAGACAATAATCAGGCTCAAGTAAACAAGAACAGGAGTAGAGTTCAAAGCACGAAAAGTTTCTTAAGATAAAGGTAAAGGTTCCCCTCCCACATATGTGCTAGTCGTTCCCCACTCTAGAGGGCGGTGCTCATCTCCATTTCAAAGCCGAAGAGCCAGCGCAGTCAGGAGACATCTCTGTGGTCATGTGGCCGGCATGACTAAATACCGAAGGTGCACGGAACACTGTTACCTTCCCACCAAAAGTGGCTCCTATTTTTCTACTTGCACTTCTACATTTTCGGACCAATTTCGTTGTATTTAAGTACAATGACAATAAAGATTATACATACATACATGTTTTTGAAACTGCTAGGTTGGCAGAAGCTGGAACAGGTAAAGGGAACTCACTCCATTAAGCGGCCCTAGGGATTCGAACCGCCAAACTGCCAACCTTTCTGATTGACAAGCTCAGCCTCCTAGCCACTGAGCCATGGCGTCCCTTATGTGCTTATGTTTCTTATGTGCTACCAATACACAAGAATTTAATTTACGAATAGTCAAAAAGAATTTTCATTAGATAAGGGTCAGTGAAATTCACGGGAGGCTGATCTTAGGTGGGGATGCAAGGATCCCAAACTGATGACCCGTTTAACTCCGCCTTTGCAGTCAGCCTTCTCATCTCATACACAAAGTGCTGCTTTGAAGAGCACGGATGGAGCCACTTTAAAACAACCACATCTTTCCCCAGCATCACAACTACAGAGGGCAGCTGTGCAACCCTGGCAATGTTGTGGTTTAGGAGTTTGTAGGAAGGTGCTGCATTTATGCTTTCTAGTCCTCTCAAAGCCCTTTTAGAAGTCCATATCCAAAGCCTTGCAAAATTGCAATGCGCTGTTCTAGCATGATTTTGATTTTGGCTTAGCACCAAATATGCCAGTTGGACCCCAGGCCAAATATATTGAGTGTCCTGGAATCCGGCAAATACAATTTTGAAGGCAAAGCTTTGGAACATATCTTCAGATGAAGCAAAGCAGATTTCCATCCCCCATCTCCACCCCACCCCCCCATCCAGAGGGAGGATAAAAGAAAGTTGGCTAATTATCTGTAGTTTAACTACTTTAATTACTTTGATCCCCGAAGCCCCATGAATATTTGATTGGAACAGATGACATATTAAAAATGGTATTATTAACGCTCCCAGGTTTAATGAATTGAAACATCTTTGTCTTTCAGCAGACATTCAAGATGATTCAAACCTGTTCCTTCCCAGGCGTGCAATCCAGTTTTCCTTTTTAGAGCGGGTGAAATATTTATTTATATTCTGCCTTTCCTTCATGAGCTCAGGATGGCATGCATGGTGCTCGTATCCCACCAAAATAGCAACCCTGTGAAGTAAGCTGGACTGGGAAAGAGAGAGAGAGGAGCTGGCCTAAAGTCATTGGGATGGAAATTGCTAAGAATAAAAATAATAAATATGCACAGGCTCTCCCTTTTTAATTATGGTGCATCATCTACAGCAGTGTTTCTCGGTTCCACCACAAAACCGCGATAGACTAAAGCGCGCTCGACGAAAGCGCGTACGTGATGTCATCACAGCACGATCAAAACAGCACGCTGTGAGCGGTAAACTTAAAATTAACGCGTACCCCCCCAAACCTAACCCGAAGCCTAACCCTTAACCTAACCCTAACCCTAACGCTTAACGTAACCCTAAACCTAAACCTAAACCTAACCCTAAACCTAAACCTAAACCTAACCCTAACCCTTACCTTTATGTGAATCGGCTTGCTTTAATTTTATTTTAATTTTAATTTTATTTATTTTTAATTTTATTTGT